GATCTTCTAGTGGAGAAAGCGATCCTGTAGTAAAGATTCAGCTGTCATTCAGAGTTTTGGTTCGTATCTTGATTTTTATGCAGAATCATTCTGAGACCGCAGTAAACTTACACAGCATTTGTTGAAAAAGGGTTACAATTTAATATTTATCTATCTCATGGAATTGCTAAAGGGATAAACTAACTATATTATCGGCGAAGGAAGAACCATAGCTAACCAGTTAGGTATTGCTGTAACTGGAGGGCAGTGCAGTAATCTAGTTTTGAGCTGATGAAATTTGTGGATGCTTTGTAGAGAACTGAATCAACAAAGAAGGCAAAAGATCAGGAAAAGGCAGAAGACCGTTTTGGCAGAATCTAGAAGTCAATAGTGATAGGGCTTGGTGCATGGTATTTAGGAAGAGCAGAAGCAGAAAGGAATTTGATTTCTGCCCGCTGTTACCAAAGTTTTATTTTATTCTCTAAAGCAAAATCTAGCAAGTTTGAGCATGTGAAATTATGTTCCAAACCCAGTTTGTGTCTGTAAATAGAACTGGCTGGACGTTCAAAGCTTCTGAACATCCCATAAGTTAGATAACGTGTGTTTTTACAGGGGATGTTGGGCACTGGACAATTCAGAGGATACTCTGGGAATGTCACCCCAGATTCAGTCTTAAACTCAGAGGTAGCCTTTTGAATCACAGAGCTGACGCTCCGGAAACAGAAGATAGTTACAAAGTAAGAACAAGACTTCCTATTTCTAGGGAAGGAGACTCCACAGCCGCTCTGGGCAACCTGTTCCAGTGCTCAGTCACCCCCACAGTGAAGAAGTTTTTCCCTCATGTTCAGAGGGAACTTCCTGTGTTTCAGTTTCTGCCTGTTGCCTCTTGTCCTGAGGAGAGTCACCTCCATCCTCTCCTTTATCGATCACCATTTTTTGTTGTTAATAAGACGGAACCAAACAATTCCTGTTGCACCTGAGTCTTCAGAGGCTCTAGCCATCCTGAAAGAAAAAAAAAAAAAGAATTGGCTAAGATCCATCAAATGTGTATGGCATAAAGATCTAATTCTTAGTTATTTCCATTGCCCTCCTCACAAGAATCAATCAGTACAAATCTTGGGTGTGTATGTAATAAGTTATGAGGACGTGTGGAAGTACCTTAGGAAGCCAAGTCTTGTGGGTAATTTTCCATGCGATTGTCAGGCAGCAACAAGAGTAGGCTGCTCCCTACAGGAAGGTGAGCCAAGTGCAGCTACCACACAGTCCAGGCAACAGACTCAAAAGCAGGGTGCGGTCCCACAGCATCAGAGGCAGGTGAGCAGAGGAAGGTGGTGACTGCAGCAAGTCAGTGAGCGTCAGGCAAAGACAAGATAACAGGCCAGGTCCAAGGTCAATTCAGGAAATCCAGACAGTTCAGGAACATGCTAGGGGCAAACACACCTCAGATGGACCTCAGGCAAAGACGAGAGTCCCAGGCCTGAACTTACACGGAGCCCTCAGTCAGAGGCGCAAGGTGAGCCTTGTTATGGCATCTAAGGTCTCTTTGTGCACTTTAGGCACTGACAAGTGTTTATTGGGCTTTGGGTGTGGGCTTTGACGTAGTTTTAGTGTAGATGAGAGGCAGAAAGGAATTGCCATATCAAGACAAGGAAAAGGCAGCAGAAAGATGAATAAGTGATGAATGCCTCTTTGGAATGGAGCTAAGAGTCTGCTCTTTTGAGCGGAGCGTCTGTTGGAAAAGCAGACTGACTCTGGATGAAGACATCTGCCTCTCCCGGCCTCCTACCTTCCCTAGCAGGGCAAAGGAGTGTCTTGCTTCTTTTATCAAAACACACACACATGCGCGCGCACACACACACATGTAGGCAAAACCACCCTCGTATAGTCAATTTCCCCAGATTGAAAGAGTTTGGCTTCATGATTTGCTCTGTATTTGAACAGCCCGTACTATCATGAAGTTACTAACAAGAATGTCTTGTTGCTCAAATAATACTGGTAATACTAATAAGACCCTGAGTGGTGGAGGTTATTCATCCTAGAGTTTCTTAGTTGCTTTGCTTGTTGACTGAAGAGAAACACGTATTTTTTTCCATCTTATCTTTGGTCATCCACTTCTTAGGACAGGGTCTTACTGTACTTACCTCTTGACATTTTATGCCCCAGATTTCTGGAACACCATCTATTCAGTTCTATAACGCTATAAACAAATTGTATAAAATTTGCCATTCAGTGTGCAGAGACCTGCCCTCTTTCTTTTGAGCGCTCTTTTTCTCAAAGTCATGACGTCTGTTTCTTTCTAAGTTTCCTTATGTGTCAAGTTTTCTTCAACTGAGGTCACTTATGTCCATAATAATGGAGAAATGATCACATCTTTTCCCTAGTCAGACTTTTGTAATTCTGTGGCAGCAGCACCGTAGGGGTGTAATAAATTTGTTACCTCCTCGAGGTGTTCTTCTATTTCAGCTTGACATGAGAGTACCCCCTAGTGGCAATTTCTTTAATGAGTTTACGAGTGCCAGGGAAAAGCAGAACTTCCAAGATGGCAAATTAGCTGGCAACTGTTTGTTACAATGAAATATTGTTATCGTTCAACACATTGTTTTCTGCATAATAAATTTCCTGGACGTTATTCCACTGTTTATAGATGGACTTATGGTCCATGAGTTTCAGTAGTGGACCCAATTTCCCGTCAGTACATCTCTCTAGTAAATTTAAACACACCTTTATTTTTCAGGTGCGGATCATACTTACCCATTTTAGTTTTTTGCTTTCTAAATTTTGCAATTTATCTATATTTTTGTTAGTAACATCCTCCTGTTTCCCTCTTCTTAGTTCAAGGTTCTTTAATATCCATATCATCCCTTTGCAGGCCTTGATTAATCTTGCATAACATCATGTTTATGTCTTGTTTCTTCTACATTTGTTTTTCATTAGAATTTGTCCATTGCCTTTTAAGATGCTCCAACTTAATTTGAGCGTTCACTCCCACACTGTGTTTCACAAATCACTATTTTCAATTCCAGAGGATTTGTTTCACAACAGATGCAAAAAGGTCTCACATGAACTTCATTACTTGTAAGTAACCAAATGTAGCAACACAGTCCATTCTGGGTCAGTGGTCTTAACTGTGAAAACATCTGCCATGTGTTTGATTTCTGCACATCTGCAATAAGGATCATTTGTAACTGCACACTGCTGTTTATTACATGCACAATCTATAAGTATTACTTGGCAACAGTTAGGAACTCTGTTCCACCAGTATTTGGAAGTGTTTGGAACCACTGACTGCTTTGGTGACTGTTGCAGAGTTCACACTGACATTTACTTGTGTATCTTGATCGTATCTGGCGACTAATAGCTCCCAGTTGGCCTACAGAGTTTCCAAGATTGCCTTCATGAAGACTCAGCTTTCCACTTGCACTTCTTTGGGACTAAATGATCTTTAGAATCTAGCCTAGACAGTTACCCACAAACTAGTTAAAACTGATACATAGTGCAGTTTTGGGGTGTTTGTGTCTTTCATTAGGGCACACTCAAAATCTCTGGAACAGTGCTCAAAAACTGGCACCACAGCCAGTAATTTTTTGCCCAGCCTCATGCCTTTTCCACTGGAAGAGCTTTTAACTGCTGCCGTTAACAGTCTGTATCTTAGAGTTGAACCCAAGCTTTCTCCCATACACTAAATTGTTCTTAGGCTTTCCTGAAAGACCTTATCTTAGCCCTTCTTCCCTCTGCTCAGCAGAAGTTCTTCCTTGGATATATTCCTGATAGGTTTACCAGGCTACATCTGCCTACATTAAGCTGTAGTATTTCCATTCATAGCCCCCCCCCCCCCCCCCCTTTTTTTTTAATAAATTCATAGTAACTGTCACATAAACAGGAAAATTACAAGATGAACAACAGAAATGCGTTGTTTTGCCTAGTAGGCCCAAATAGAAAATGGTATGAAAATGGTCTCCCTCCTTTTTTTTTTTTTAAGAGGATTGCCTCTACCAACTCAGTTGAAGTCCGGTCTTAGAAACACTTGAACTGGTATAGCTAAAAAGATGATGACATCAAGCAGGTGATGAAGTGTGTTTGGGGAGTGGAACTATCCGACACAGATCTGGTGCAGCTTTAAGGAGAATGTCTTTCCCCTCTCTTTTTTAGTCACTCCTTTTTTTTCTCCCTAAATTGTGAGGAATGACAAATAACTCTGTGTTTGGCTGTGCTTCAGCAAGGGTCGGAGAAGCTTCTCATGGGGAATAAGATGCTGAATGAGGGAAGTTAGGTGCTGGGATTGCCATCAAAAGGTTAAACTGATCATCATTTGTTAAAATCTGTAAAACAGTTACCATTTAACAGCCCTGTTGTTAATGACTGCATTGTTGCTCTGCTCTTACATCCCGTCTTCCTACCCTCCAGTTTACCTTCTGTTCAGAATGCACATTCTTCAGGGCAGGGATAGTCAGGCAGTCTGTGTTTTTTCAGCAGCTGGCCCAGCAAAACCCAGGGTTTAGTATACTACAAATAAACAACAGCACCTACTCAAGAGGTAGGCTAGTAAAATGGTCTGACGTTCTCCTTTGAGACTTATGTTCCTGTTTCTTTCAGAGAACTCTGTGAAGACTTTGAGAAACTCAGCCAAGCACTCAGAGTGAGCAAACTTTTTCAGTGTTTTTTCTTCCTGAAAGCTCAGAGTAGGAAAATCTGGTGAGTATGTTTTCTCCATTATCTTTAAAAACAGGTATAATTTAAGATACGTGTGTATCTATGTATGTATTATCATACATAATATGATATATATAATAAGATATGTATAAAGCCATATGTATGAAAGCTTCACTTTATGAGGATAATGTGTACCCCATTTGAACTATAATGCATGATGGAATACCAAGAACTGTTTGCTGTCTGAAGGAGGAATATATAAAGTGAAAAGCAGTGTTTACTGTATTCTGCTGTAGGTATAGCTTGACTTTATTATAATGCCCTGGACGGCAGGTTTCTTCAGTCTGACTTCTTGAAAGAGTAGTGTTTTAAGCACCAAAGCTCCGTTCTAGAAAACTTTTCCCCAGAGACTCATGGGATTAATTTAGGCTCTATGAGAGACTGGATCAAAGTTACAAAGAGTTCACTGCTGAGCTAGGAAGAGTGGACTAGATCCTCAAAGGTATGTATAGACTTACTTCCCGTTTTTGAGCAGTGTTTTCAGAGTGTATCTAAGATAAGATATGGTCAGTTGTAGCAGTGATGAATTTCCCTTGTTTTGAGAAGGCTTTAAGGAGTGTTTGGTTGGCACTGAGTTCATTATCCGTAGGTTTTCCTAAGGAAAAAAAATGAAGTCTGAAGCAAAGGTAGCCTATAGTTGTAATCTAGAAGAAAGGAGGGGAAAAATTTTCTTCCTTAATTTCTCGTGTTCGGGAGAGGGAACACCAGGCAGCTGTGCGATACTATTTCAGCAGCTTACTCAAGTCTTCGGTTCTTTGTTTGCAAGAAGATCAGTGTCTGTGTGATTCACCTGACATGCCCAATGTGCTGTTAAATGGAAATGAAAAGTATGTGTTGAAAATATAAATAAAAAGGAATTAAAGCTCTGGATCCCACTGCAAATAATCTTTCAAAGCATTTTGTCCGTTTTACTAGTTGTACAACTTCCCCAAAGCACACCCATGCAGATGTACCTTCTTCAGGAACTGCACGGACCTTTGAATATCACTATTCCTGCTGCAACACAGGACTGTAGTATTTGTCTAAATCTAGCCACTCTGAAAAAAAGATAATTTGTGTTTATTCTCATCATTTCAAATATACTCAGAAATGCCACTTTTCAAGGGACTAATGTAAGAGAAAATGTCTTTTGAAAAACTCCAGCCATAAGCCATAAGATGAAACTATTAAAAGCTTTTCTAACGGAAATACAGTTTTGAAGAATGTTAAGTACTAGTGTATAGGTTTTGAGAGAATCCCTACTGCTGCCATTCAATCATCTCATGTTTAGAAGTTTTCTAAAATTTAAATACAGTAAGTCTTCCGAAATATTCTGAAATACAGTAAATATTCCGAAACAGGAGCTTGGAGGATGAAATAATAACAGGCATAGATACAGTCAGAGCAAATTGTACAAGTCTGAAGCACATTCGCTGTTCATGCAAAGCCAGTTCCTCTCAAGCCTTTCATTCAAAACCCCAAGAGACTGAGGTGCACACAAACTCCCACAAAATATGTTTTAAAAAGTTGCTATTTTCATTCCATGTACCGTTAGGGTCAAATCCTGACTGTATACTTGGCCAAACAGTTTCACTGAAGTCAATGGGACCTCCAGTGTGTGTTTTATGAACAGGACTGAACATGTTGCCATCCTTTGTTTCTTTACCTTATGAACTTAGGAACTTAACTTATTTCCAAAAGATAGGAGTGTCACAGAATATTCTGTGCCTCACCTCCCCACCCTGGAAAATTTCTGAGCAAAGTCAGAACTTCTGGGTAGTTAGCACCCTTGTTAATTCCTGGTAACATAAGCTTGAGTGGGTACAGAAATGCCCCCACAGAATTTTCTGTTTCTGCTGTTTTCTCTAATTCTTGCCAGGCTTCCAGAAGGGACCGATCTAAAGCCATGAAGCAGAGCAGCCTTGACAGGTATGTCTGCCTTTGATGCAGGTGTGTACAGAGAAACTGTTTAGGACAGTTCCAACTCTGCAGAGTTTTGGAGCTTTTTTACAGGACATGAAAAATGCTATCAGTAAAACAGTTGGAGCTCAGTTATCTCCATGAAAAATGCTAAAGACATACAGATGTATTGTTCTTGGCAGTGATGCTCTGCACTGATCCTCCAGCATGACACTGAAGGCATGGTCACACATTCAGACCTCTGTAAAAGTCATGGAAGGGGGGAGCTTCTGCTTCTCCACTGGTCTTCAGCCTTCTCTGTCTTCCTTTCCTGATAAAACTGAATATCTGTATCTCACAGTCAAAGAGCCACTGAGAGTGGAGAGAAAATGAGGATCTGTTTGGATGACAGATCTCTTTGTAAAATCAAAGTCTAAACTGGGCTTCAAAGCATAATTTTTAAATGTAGATTTGGTAAAATTTGTGGGCAAATGGTGTTGAAGGTATCACTGGAATTAGGAGAGGAGCCTTACTAAACCTTAATATTTAAAGTATAGCTTAAGCGTACAGAATGTTCGTTGCGTAGAAGTCTGTAGTGCATTTTTTCTACTCAAGTAAAAGGTATCCCATCTTTAAAGTGCTACAAAACATTATATCATGGACGGATATACTGCATGACACTCCCTTTCCTGCCAGATGCCAGCAAAAAGTTATACAAAATAAACCGTGAAATGAAGGAGTCTTATTCTCGTTACAGTGAAACACAGGAGGGTTCACACTTCTACACTCCTGAAGTATTTCTCAGGCAGCTGGAGATGTATTCAACCCTCAGTATGCTTCCTAACAGTGCACTGAATGTAGGCACCAATAGCTGCTTAATGCATACCCTACTGCGACTTATTTCTGTAATCAGCTTTACGGAGCAGCAGGTGTAAGAGAGTAGTGGTAGCCCTGCTGGCTGTTATTAATAGTTGAATATACTCGTTATTTGAAGCTATAAACCTTCTTTTAAAGCTTGGGGAAACTTTTTTTTTGTAACACATGGTTCCTTGATTTTCCTTTAGCTTAAACTTCCTTTTCCCAAAGAAACACTGTTTCTCTAGCTGTAATGTTCTCTCTGCTATCAAGATTTAGGTCCTTGTCCTGTAGATGAAAAAGCTGGTATGTTAGATTATCCTTATTTCTTTAGAACCTTGGTACTCTTCCCTGGAAACCAGACCCATTTTCACAGATGCCTCCCCCAAAACCAGTGGGGAAGGATGTCTGCCCTGAAGAGTGCATAACATAGACAGATAAAATAGGGTAGAGGACCAGATATAGACACAGCAGAGCTGGAACTGAAACCCAACCGTGTCTTCTCAATACTTTCAAGCTAACTTTACAAACTTTGCGTAGTCTCGCTGCAATGGAGTTACCACATTTGTACCTGCTTTCACATGGCTCTTCTGACATATTGTTAATCAAGAAATAGAAGGTTATAGCACGGCCCCTCTTTTCCTCTGTACTGACGGCAAAAGAAATACTGAAATGTGGCTCTTCTTTCTGTCCTGTTTTCCACTCTCTCTGAATGCCTCTTCCATTTGATTCCTTCCCCATTATATTGTCAATGTCTATACTTATTAATGTAGCAGCTAAATGGAGTTATTTGAAGGGAAGTAACATGAAGATGTATACACAAAGGTTCAGCACAAGATGTTAAAAAAAGTCTGTTTAATTTTTTTCTGCACAAACTCCCACCTGTAATCTCATGTTTCAGATCGTATTCAAATAATTTATAAGTAATAAGAACCTGCAAGATTGAAATTTGCAAAGAGGAATTTTAAAACAAATTTAGGTAGAAAGTAAGGGTGTCTCATTTTTAAAGACACTGGGAAATTAGAATAGCAAGTTCTCTGCTTGGCACAGGTGATCTGGCCTTCTCTGGATTTAGCCCCAGCATATCAAATGAAGGATGTAGCAAAAGGAGTCTTTCTAATTAATCTGCGTGCTTATACTGGCACTTTAGGTCTTTGTATGTCTGTGTATGTGAGTATAAAAGGGGGAGGTGGCACCTTAGTTAACATATTATGTAGTAAGGTTTAGAGGTTTAAATTTTTTTTTTTTTGGCAGCTTTGCTTTTATGGTAGTTGTATTCACTGGTAATTTATTACAATCTTATTCAAAAACTTCACTTTGAAGAGTAAGATAATTGCTTCCTTGGGGCTTTTTGTTTTGGTTTGATTTGGGTTTGTTGACTTTTTTGAAAGCAAAAACTTCTAAAAGCTCCATCAGCAAGACATCAAACAGGAATAAGAAATTACGCTTGACACTTGGCTTAGTCACACATTTTTCTAACCATTTGCATTTAGATCTGCTGTTGTAATCAATTTTCTCCATTTACCAACAATTTTTGAGACACGATACTATGACAATTGTAGGCTAGCTATTGTTTTGACCTTTTTTTCCTTATTTTTATGTATGATACGTGCATGTGCTAAAATCTGCAAAATCGACAGTCTGCTTACAACTTACACCATGAAAATTCAGTTGAAATAGAGGTAGCCCCATAATGAGACTGCCTGTTATTTAGGTGTGATCAACACTGAAAAGGTTTTGCTGGCATGAGTAGTGCAGATTAAGGAGTCTGAAAAGTTTACTCAACCCTACCTCTGAACATAGTTCAGTTAAGCATGGCTATGTAAGCAAAAACACAAAATCCCCCCCTCCCCCCAAAAAAACCCACACCTTTTGCCTGTAGAGGAAATTAACTGACTCAGGCTAACAAAAGGATTATCATTGACATGTCTTACTTGCAAGCAGTAGAGGAGGCTTGCTTTCCTAGCTCTATCAGTGGAGACCTGTTTTGCCTTTACAAAGACAAATCACAACATACTGTGAAGTACCAGTTATATTGCAGCTGCAGAGAGGGATACAAGTTCACACTTTGTACACTTCTTTAAGGGCAGCTTCCTCTCTAGCCAGAGGTCAGAACTGCAGGTGGGAGGCCTAGGGAGGATCCTGGGAGTCTGTCTGTAGACCATATGGGCTCTCCCTCAGACGGGGGACTCCGGAGGTAGTTGTCAGATTGCTGGCCCCACTTCAACTGCTTTGTCTTCCAATTCTGATTTTAGAGCAAAATTCCTTGTCGTTGATGGCACGAGACTGGCAATAAAGACCCACTGACTCCTGTTCTCTGTAAGGAAATCCATGAACTGGAAAAACAGGAGTTAACTTTTCCCAAACAGAACTTATTGCTTACAGAGAATCACTGAAGAGGTCTGTAAACCTCTCATATCGCCTGGCAGGGGAAATGGAGGATTACAAAAAGAAAGGAACCCAAAAATTTGCTTTCTTTGACTATTTTTAGCAGCTCATGTTAGGTGGAGAGAAAAGAATTCTGCTTTCTAGAACTAGACAGGCACATTCCTCTGTGCCAGTGAGCTGGAATGGAAGATGCTGCACTTGAAAAAAATCTGGATTTGTTCTAATGGTCTGTACCCCCTTCGTCTTCATTCTTTAAGTGAAAGTAGTGATGTGTCTAGAAACACTGTGCAAGGTCTGCCAGGTTGTTTGCCTGTACGGGCTGTAGTGTTCTGAGGGGTTTAAGTGTCAATCTGGAGGTTTCACTTCTCTGGGATCTTGGGAAAGAGCCTGTTTCCAGTAGCAATGGGCACTGGCGGAGCCCGGACAGAGAGCTGAAATTTAGAATCCTACTCTTGTGAAAAGATTTTGTGAAAAATGTATCTGTAGCCAGGGCAGGGGGCAGAGGGTGTTGAGACACCTGAAGACTGAGTGGTCCCTGGTTACAATCTGGACAGTAGTAATACTGCCTGAGAGTTCAAGAGTGTAGTTTCCTGCCAGCAAAGGGGCAAATGGCTAATTGGAGGGGCACTGCCAGGTGCTATCACAGGCCATACTCGCCAAATCCCCGCTCTCAGCTGGATCCCTGTGGGCAGACCTTTTTGCCTGCACGGTGTCTAACTGAAATCACTGCATAGCCTGAGGCAGGTTTTTGTTATAATAATAGCCACTGGAACCAGTGGATACAGGCTCCCTTTGGCTTAAAAAGAAATAATATTTTATAATCCTGTAGTGCAGGCTAAGTAACAAAGAAAACTCTTTTACCAGCTTCTCTTTGGGGTTTCTCTTTGGGGTTCTCCTTGGTTTTGGGGTTTGTTGATTTTTTTTTCCTGTTGGATTATTCTTAACATTCATTTTATTACCTGTGTTTATCGACCAGTTTTTCTCAACCAAAGCATGTACAGAAAGCCTATGCTAGTATTTCAAAGAACCAATTTTGTAACATCCTTATGTATCAGATTTTGTTTCTATTTTAATCAGCGTAGTTCATATCATTTGTATAACGTTCTCCAATCTTGTGCATTTGTCAAAGGCTTGTCTTTCAGTTTTATTTCTGGTGCCCCAAACCAGTAATAAATATTTTTCTGCAAAGTTTATTTACAGACTTAAGCCATTGTTCCAAGCTCTAGCATCAGGGCTTTCTTCTTTTGCTGTATTTCATTGTGACTTTTTATTACCAGTGACTCGCTTTTCCAAAAATGTTAGATATCCTTGTATATTTGACACTGTCCTGCTGGTGTTTGGTATTCTTTCACTGCGTTACGATTGCCCTTACATTTATTCCAACAAACAACTATCTCATTTTCCCTTGAATTCTGTTTTCCTGAATTTCTAATCAGATCTTCTTTCAGCTTGCTTGGCTCACGCTCTTATTCTGGAAACCTTGGGGTTTTTGTTTGTTTGCTTTTTTTTTTTTTAATAATGTGCAGATATCCATTGCCATCAGCCTAGGACCTGTTATCTCAATTTTGCTTTGAACTATTTATTAGAATACCGCCTAATTCAGAGGACAGTTGTTCCAATTGCTGATTCATTTCCCTTCTCTTCTCTTTGATCTGTAAAATAACCACTTTGCAAGCTGACCTTTCAGGCAATTCCTTGTAAATAAAAACGTATCTTTCCCCAGAGAGGTTCTTGCGTGGATCAGAAGGCTGAAGCTGTTGGCCTCACCTCGTCAGTCGAAGCGTTCCCAGTCTGGGTTTTCTCTGGAGCTGTGGTTGGAGGAGGTGACAGCTATGTGGATGTGTAGCAGCAGGAAACATTTGGCTGATTGAGCAGCATTTTGCATTTCACTTTGAAGAAGTTTGTCTACTGTTAACAAGATAGCAACTCTTAGTTTGGAAACCCCAACTCCTAGTGGTCTGTTCATACTTGTAGGCTTCTGTAGGAGTGCTGTATGCTCTTTTGGACTCTGGGCACTTCAAACAGCACTGTATATTTGTGTGTGTGTGTGTGTGTGTGTGTGTGTGTGTGTGTGTGTGTGTGTGTGTGACTGTGTGTGTGTGTGTGCGCGCGCGTGTATGTGTGCGCGTGTGTGTGCGCACGTGTATGTGTCTGTGCATGCGCACACGTGCACAGGGGGTGATTTTCCTTTGCAGTTGCCTGTTCTCACTTGCTTCTGTGAAAAAATGGAACTAGTAAAATCACTGTTTCCACTCCTCTGCCAGACCCCTTACCCTACTAAGATCATTAGGTTTATTTGCTTCAGCTTTGTATGCTTAGGATGAGATTAGGCAAATGATTTCTGTAACAAATGTCAGGATATGTTCTATACTGACTGTTACTTTTTGAATGCAGTTATTACTGAAGTCCCTGATTGATTTACCAGTATTACTTAAGGTGCCTTTTCTGTATGAAGTATTACCTCAAGTCTTTACAAAGATATATATTATTAATACATCAAGAGAAGAAAGATCTGACAATCAGAGTTTGTAAGAGTGCTACAATTAAAAAAAAAATACTGAGAATTATTTTAAAGATTGACTAGTTTACTCATCCCGCAGCCTTTGTTTTAGACTAGCATTAGTTATACTACTAAGTAGTGTGGCCCATACCATGCTATTTAATTTTGATCAATATACAAGTTCTGAAATCAATATTTGTGAATGGTAACTTTTTAACTATAATTTTAGATAAGAAAGTAGTGTCAAACATCTTTTTACTATATTTCTAAAATTTAGCTGCTTTTTTACCACATTTGCTTGTATGTTTCTGGCACAATGAAAGACAGGCCTTAAGAGTGTGCATGATCTTGATTTAGCAGAAAAGAAGGTAAGTAAATTTCTTTAAGCGCCTTTATTTGTATTCCCATACCTGATTTGGAAGATTAAAGCAACTTTCGTTTTTCTAAATGAAACAGAAGATTAACCTGTATAGCTTGCACAGCACCAAGCCAAAGTTTATTTTTTCCTGACTGAATTGGATGCATTATTCAAGCCTATAATGGACTTTGTCCTGGAAAATTTTGAGCAACACTTTTAATGAGAGATTCTGAACACCTTCCAGGCCTGGAGCTGAACAATGCTGAACGGTTTGGTAGCTGGCAAAGAATGAAGCAAGAGGAATGAATACATGCCATCTTCCATGTAGTTTTCATTGTAATATTCCATTTGAAGCAGTATGTAAAAC